TTTTTCTTCTCTGTGTCTCTGGTCCCACCTTCTTCTGACAGCAACTCTCCTTTTATTCAGCAACTAAAATATAGTATTTGCCCCAGGCTCGGTCTTTCAGTCTCTTCTCCCTCTGTGTGCTCCCTCTAAGCAACTTCTTCCCTCTCCATAGCTTCAATTACCACCTATACAAAGAAGTCTAACACATTCATGTTTCTAACCCAAACGTCCCTGAGCTCCAGCATCACCTATCTACTGGTTGTCTCAACTGTACCTCAAACTCAACGTAACAGAAAATCAAATCATGATCATCTCTCCTAATCCAGGTCCCTTTCAGGGTTTCCTGTCTCAGGATGGCATGGCCAACTGTCAAGCCGTGCTCAACAGAAACCTAGGACTCACCTCTGACACGTCTCTCGGCCTTGCCACCCATATGGAATTCGTCACTAAGCGCTGACTTTACCTCCTCAGCCCTCAGTAAATCCATCCATCTCAAGACCCTAGACTACAACAACAGCCTCCTAACTGGTCTCTAGGCAGCTACGCATGCCTCTTCAATTCAGTCTCTGTGCTGTCTACATGGCACCCACCCCAGTGAGGACATTTCAAGGGCTTCCCACTGATTCTAGAAAAACAATCCTAAACATGGTCTGGCCTCCACCCAGCCCTCCAGCCCCATCCCACTCCACTCTCCCCGGCTCTCTCTGCTCTAGCCACACTAGCCTTCTGCTGCACATTGGGCTCCTTCTGCCTGAACTCCCTTCCTTCCTTCTCTAGCATAACCTCATCCTTCCTACCTCAGCTCAGGCATCCCTTCCTCAGGCAAGTCTTCCAGGTTCCCTGGGCTAAGTCAAAATCCCCTTATTTAAAAAAAAAAAAAAAGAAGAAGAAGAAGAAGAAAAGAAAAAAAAATTTCCCTATTATAAACTCTCTTGGTACCTTGTACCCTTCCTTCTTAACACTTAGCAAAGTTGTCATTTTACATCTGTTGGTGTACTACTTATTTCCAGTTACAGATTTCATGCGGGTTTCCCATACCTGCAGGGGTTCTTCTTGTGCCACCTGCTCATTCAGCTTTTCAGTGTAGGCATCACAGATTTCAGTCACTTGCACACACCCCTGGAGGCCGTTGGGGAGACTAATCACCAGTTCCAGTTCATTTACCTCTTTCACGCAACCCAAGATCCGCATCCCCTCACACAGGGACTAGAAGAGAAAGAGTGAAATGTATACAACAGGGAAGAGAACAATGATTGGGGAGGTTGGGGGGGTTCTGGCTTCTAGTCCCAACTCTGACATATAAAAGCTACGAGACACATATGTGTACATGTCAGTACACTCATCACACATCTGAGCACCACGAAAGATCGAAATTATACAACAGTGTTTACAGCAGGGTGCTGGAGGGCACGCTCGCCTTTTCCTTTATTCCAAGCAGCCCAAACTCAAAGGCCTAGCAGGCAACACAATGCAGGACAGAATGTCAGTGGAGACAGAAGTCAGTCTGGAGGGTGCATGCCAGGTCTAAAGGGCGCAACCACTATTCAGCTCTGTGTCCCTACAAACATGAGGGAGTGCGAGCTTGTACTGTCAGCACTTTCAAATTTTTACAAAAAAGCCGGAAATCACGTTTTTATGAAAAATTTTTTAGTTTTCTAATGTTGGCATGAAGTTAAACAATTATTTTTTTTAAGTAGCACACAGGACAAAGAAAATAATTCTGCAAGCTGAATCTATATGTTTCCCTTCACTATCATTTGACTTTTTTTTTCTTTTTTTACAACTAATGTGTATCAGAATTATCTAAAAATTTAAGGAACATAATAAGACTGCTTCACTTCTCTGAGATAATTTCCACATCTATGAAATGAAAGGGAAGAATTAGAGTGATTGCTAAAGCTATTGCCAGTTCTAACCTATGACTCTACTAAAACACAAGTTCCATGAGGGCATCGGCGGGATGAGGGACTCAGCAGCTAAAAAGAAAAACTAAAAAAACAACACATGATCACAGGCACTGGTTAATAATTGAAGGAAATAATGCTCAATTCTGAACAAAACTGGAAGAAGTTCTAAAGACATAAGCTACACACACATATTTATATGAAAAGAATGAAGGAAAAAAGGAAAAAGGAAAGGAAGAAGAACATATACAGACTTAAGCAACTCAGAGAGTTTGTTTAAAACAAAACCAGTTATAAAACAGAAACTAACACACCATTGTAAAGCAATTATACTCCAAAAAAGATGTTAAAAATAAAAAAAAACTTTGACAAACCTCCACACTAAGGATTTCAAACTTCTCTCTTACAAACTTGTTGCTTTCTCTCTTTTCAACTTTCAACTTTTTTGTTTTTGCTGGCTCTTTCTGGATCTTTTTCCTTTTGGTGGATTCCTCTTCAGTAGAAATCTAAAGGGGGCAAAAGACCCAAAAGAATAAAAACCAGTAATCCTGGCCTTTCCCTCCAACTTCAGGTCATCTGTCACCTTGCTTTGTCTTCCCTTCTACTCCACCCCACTCCCAATTGTTCCTTTAATTCCTGCCTCAACGCCAATCTCCTGTTCTAACAGCAATTCTCCCTTTGACCAAAATCTGAGCTCTGTTCTCAAAGCCCCTTCTCTCCCGTGTTCTTCCTCCCTTGACTGGGATGAGCACTGGGGTTCCCCGCTGGGAGAAGCAATTTGGAACAGTGAAAGAAAATAAAAGGTGGAGTCACGAAGACCCAAGTTAAATTTCTATCCCCATCATTACAAGCTGTGTGATTTCGGCTAAATTATATAACCTCTCTGAGCCTCAGTTCCTCACCATGGAATGATGATCTCTACTACACAGTACAGTTGGAAAGATTACATAAAATAGACATGAGACCATACAATCAAGTGTTAGTTACCATCCCTCTAGCATTTGGAGCGCAACCTACTCTAGGTGAAGATTTCAAATTCTACTGCAAATTATGATCGCTTCACACAGCAAGGACCTCATTCCAAAATGCAGTGATCAAACTGTTTTCTCTCCATCCTTAATCAACATGGTAAGTTTCTAAGAATAAGAAACAGGGAATTCTCTGGTGGTCCAGTGGTTAGGACTCCATGCTTTCACTGCCAAGGGCGCGGGTTGGATCCCTGGTCAGGGAATTAAGATCCCACAAGCTGGGTGACGTGGCCAAAGAAAGAAAGAAAGAAACAACGGCACTGCAAACTCAAATATTAAATGCCATGCTTCAAAGGATATAGTCTTGTGGTGGCATGGACTCTCTAACAAGTTTAATTTATAAAAGTTGACTTCAACAAGAATCCAATCTGGAAAACCACACATTCTCAAACAAGGCTCATTCTCCAAAAGGACACTAGAGAGAAAGTGTTCAGTGAGTCTTATCAAAAAAGCACACCACTTACATCAAATAAGTTGTCTTGTTCAAATGACTGCTGGAAAGCTTTCTCTTTCTCTGATTTGTGGGTTTTTCTTGTACCCCCTCGGGGGAAGCTTTCTTCCATGGTTGCCATGTTTGGGTGTCCTAAAAACAATGCAAAGAATTGGTGAGTTGTATCCTTAGTGTCAAGGTTGTGATCAACGGGCAAGAGATAGAGCCTTCTAGCACCAATGTGCTGGACAGCATTCAGGACTAAGAAATGGATGGTTTGATGCCAGGCAACAGATAATCCATAATTCATCTTTCCAAAGGTCTTTGCTTCAAAACCACAAGTCTACACATTTTTCTCCAGCAAAAGAAGTTAGTTTCAATGTATTAAATATCATTAAGCAGCTTCAGTTAAGTCACAAATACACAGATGAATACATAACCCCCTACCTTCAAAGAATACGCACATTTTTAAGAAGATAAAACAATTATGCAAAGGATCTAAAATACAAATCAGATTATAAACTATCAACAAGGAGGTAGGAAATAATGAGGCTTCAGCAAAGGAGGAAAGCTTCCTAAAAAAGATGCTTTTGAGCTGAATGTTAAAAGATTAATAAAATTTTGACAGGTGGAAAGGGAAAAACAGAAGGAATACGAGAAAAGGCATGGAAATAGGAAAAAAACAATTATTTTGATAAGCGCCAGCAATATGTCTGTCAAGCTGCTCAAAAGCTTGCTCTTGCCTTTCTTTGAAGAATTGTTCAACTAGATTACAAGGTGAATAAACCATAATAATTGGAGTTAAATTTTAAAAGACACGTTGGGCTTTTTGTGTCAGATCTTTCATCAGGTGTGAATAGATTAACGTTCACTTTGGCAAGTCAGAGCCTTAAGAAGAGGGAAAGACAGAACAGTAACAAAAATATATATATACTTCAGGCTATAGATTGGACAGGGAGATAGGACTGAAGGAAGGTACACCGGGTACAAGGATTCAACTGCAGTACAACAGAGAAATCATGAGAACCAGAACTACTGAATAGGTATAAGTGAGAATAGAAAATAGGAGGGGTTGGTTCTGAGAGACACTTGGGAACAGGAATCTAAAAAGGCTTGAGACTGTGAAAGAGGTGAAGACCTAGAGGGAGCCTAGGAGTTGGAATCAGGAATGGATGTGTTTGGTAGAAATAGAACAAGCAATGCCGTCCAGTTTGCTAGGCATTTGACCCTTAATCTCATTTCAGACAAGGTGAAACTGAAGCTTCAAAGAGTAAACTGATCCCGCGACAAAGAAGGGTCTTGAGCTACTTCCTGGGGACATATTCTGACGTTACAGGGACCACTCCAGCAGAGCCGGCTTCGGAACCCAACCACTCACCCGGCACTGCGGGTGCATGGCAGGGATCCAGAGGACCTAGTCCTGGGACAGACCTGGAAGCCACGAAGTTTCCACCCTTGTCGCCTTTTCCCCCACTCACCAGCCCCGGGACGCCAGCACTTCTACTTCGGAGGCCGAGCCACTGTAATCACACACGCGGAGTCTAGAACACCAGCAACCCAACTCGGCTCTTCCGGAAGCGTGGGCGGGCTCAAAGCCCACTTCCGTTAGTATGCGGTACCGAGTCCTATAGGGCGGGGTGGGGTGGGGGAGAGAGATTTAGAGACAGGAAGCGGAAGGGCGGGACTTAGAGCCGTAGGCAGTCGGCACAGAGGGCCGAATCCGTAAGGCCCGTTGAACGTTTGCGGGGGAGGTGGCTTCTTCCGGTGGGGCAGAGGAGCAGCTTCTTCAGCTGAAGGACACCTGCAGCGGGGTCTGTGCGTTTTGGAAGGTGGGTGTGGAGGGGAACCCGGGCTCGGACCTCGCGGCTCCGCTTTGTGGGGCTGGCCTAGAATCCGACCGTTTCCTGGTCCGGGCACATCGCGAGGTCTTCGCTTTGGGTGGGGGACGTGGGGGGCGGGGAGAGTGATGGTGAATGGAAAAGAAATTAGAGAAAATGAGGGCCGGGCGTGAGGGTTCGGACGGTGGCTGGGAAGCTTTGGTGCGAGGTAAAGGCCCCCTTCCCCCAGTTTATAAAGGCCTTTAGAATGCATTTTCCAGTGGAGAGAAATGAGGCCCGCAGCGAAGGGAGTGTCCCAAGGTCACCCAGTGACGTAATATTGGATGAGAACTCGGGCTTCTGACCCTCTCTGGTCATGTTAACCTCTTTCCCACTGTATGCCCAAAGCAGTTTGTTTGCACTGAGCTGTGCTTAGGAAGCTGTCCAGCCAGGCCTCCTTTAGCTGCGCTGCAGCCTTTGTCAAGCGCGAGTGAGTGTAGCCCGCCTTCTGCGCTTCGCCGAGCCCGCGATAAGCGGGTTAGATTTCAATCTGTTCGATCAGTGGGGAAGGCCTTTCCTAGGAGGTAGGCAGAACAGAGAGCTGTAAACTCCTTTAAGTGCAAGAGGCTGCTTCTGGTACGTGAGCGGCTCTCCCTCGTCTTTGCCTCCTTTACCGCGTCATCTCACCAATCCAGGTAGGTGTCCGGTCCGACACAACAGCGGTACCGAGAAAAAAAGTAGCGAGGGTAGTTTCTGAAGTGCCCATTTTACAGGTGAAGAGAGGCGTGGAAAGATTAATTATATTTAATAGCAGTTCGCCGCTTAATTAGAAACAAGCGAAGACCCCGTCGCTTAGACTTTGCCATAGGCTACAGTTTAGCAATTAGTACAGTTTAGTCTAGGTATTTTTCATTAATGTCTTTCTAAACTGAAGTATGACTCAGAAGGAAAGCAAGTTTCAGTTCAGTTATTCCACAAAGTACCATCTAACACAAGGATTCCTGATGTTTGCCCAAAAGTAACCTGCAGTTTGCTGAGGAAGCAGACCCAAGTGCTTGCAGGCTTTGCTCCAGTTTATCTGTTTCCCCTCCATCTCAGCGTTTTTTAAGAGTCTTTCTTTACAACCTAGACTAAATTGCAGTTCCTGTACTGTGCCTTTCCCTGCGGTCAGAATTAGTCCTCTGTGTAATATTGGAAACATCAGCCTTCCTTCCATATTGTGTGGAGAGAAGTTTAAAGCACCTTAATATTGTTTCAGTTGGACACCATTTCACCTTCTGAAAATGTTTGTTAAACACAAGGTAGTGGGAATTATCAGTTAATAATTGGACAAAGTTAAGCCCTTGTTTTCTGTAGGGTTTCTCCGAGAAACCTACTTGATACTGTGAGAATCCAAAAATCTGTTCTGAAGATGAATGGGAAAGCATGTGTTTAATAAGTTTACTAAAATAAAACAATTAATATGAAAGCTATATCATAAAGATTTCTTTTAATGGAGATTTTCCTACTTGGCCTGAACTGGCCAAGGCCCCTAAGGTGGCCCAGGGAAGTTTGGAATCCTTCATTGCTACAAGAACTTTCTTGAAACAGTTTTCAAAATTAAGGTCATTTGTCCAAAGTTTCATTGCCAATTCTATGCACGTGAAGGCCTTTGAATGGTAAACTGGAGAGTGCCAGTTTCCATAGCAACAACTTCCTCGCAGGTCTCTCCCGCTTCCATTTCATCAAGAGCCAACTGAGTCACTGCCACTGCCTACCAATCTCGACCGGACCTCGACCGGCTCGTTTATATTGCCAATCGACTCGGCGTGGCGTCGGTCGTGGTAGATAGGCGGTCATACAGACGAATTTTCGAGTGTTGTTCTGGTGACCTTTGAATGTGCCTTTACTATTTTTTATTATAAAAGAAATATACGCCTTTGTGAAATACATAGGTTCTATAGCTGTAACCCCGTTTTAAAGTTTGCTGTATATTCTTTCAGGGTTTTTTCCCAATATAATTACTAATAAGCATCTCGTTTTGTTTCTGTTACTGCAGTGTTTTTCAAACTTTTAACATACATCAGAATCACTTAGAGGGCATATTAAAACAGATTGTTGGGACTCAGGTCCTTCTGATTAAATAGGCCTGAGAATTTGCATTTCTAACAAGTTGCCATGAATAGTGACAGTGTGGGGACCAGACTTTGAGAACCATTGATGTGCTCTATAATGTCCAGAAATAGGATTTTTTAAATATTTAACATGACATTGGGACGTGTTTCCATGTCAGTACATAAAGATCTGCGTGCATGGGGACATCATTCCATGTCTATATATAAAGATCTCCATGCATTCTGTTTTCTTCAGTGAAAACCATCACTTATTAGTCTTCTGTAGACGGACTTCTAGTTCTTATTATTCTCATAAACTGTATTTCATTTAACCATCCTTGAACCATACTATACGTTTCTACTTTGTAATATTTCTATAAGGATAAATTTCTGGCAAACAAATGAACCAGCTAGGTAAAAGGGTATGCTAAGTTTTTAATTTGATAGCTGTTGCAGAAGAATTGCATATTAGGAAGGTTGTACCAGTTTACACTCCCTCCAGGCAACAGAGAGAATCCTTATTTTCCCACATTCCCACTACTACTGCTAATTATCATAAATTTATCTTTGTAGTCTGATGGCTAAATATTGGTCTCATTTTACATCTTTGATCATTAGGTGATGTATGTTTTACCGTTTTGCGTTTGGCCACCTTTATATTTTCCCTTCCCTAAGATGATTAAAATATTTGCCCATGTTTTCTTCAGGATATCTTGGCTTCACTTTTACATTTAAATCTTTTGATCTGTTTTGGTGTAAGGAGTAAGGATTTCAGCTCCCCCCACACACACATCAATAGTTAGTATGTATCAACTCCATTTAGTAAATGATCCCTTCTCCCCCTTCCCATGGAGGTCCTAAATTTATAAGAAAAACTGTAAAAAGAGGGGTTGCAAGGTGAGCTGTTTAGTTGGTGGTTACCCCTCTGAGGAACTTTGAAAAGTATCACAAGCTCCAGCTTTCAGCTAGTCTTAAAACTGATTAATTCCAGGTACAGTGTACTGTGGTATAGATAGAGCCAGGAATGAAAACATCAACCAATATTGAGTCAGAGGATGGATTTAAAGACTACTGTGTTCTCTTCCTGTGCTGAGTGATTTGATATATATTCTGGAGTGTTGTGTGATAACAACCAAGATAAAGTCCTCCTTCCAAACGTTTCTCTTATCAGCAAGGTTTTTTCCACCGTTTTGCTGCTGCTTTGTTGGGTGAGGCATACATAAAATTTACAACATTTATATGCAATGAATTTTTTTGGATTTTTTAATTAAAAATTTTTTTTCTTTTAAATTGCATCCAAACCAATTTGTTGCTTTCTTTCTTTTTTTAAAAGATTGAAATCATGGCAGGTCCAGAAACTGATGCCCAGTACCAATTCACTGGTATCAAAAAATATTTCAACTCTTACACTCTCACAGGGAGAATGAATGTAAGTATTAATGATACCTTTAAGCAGTTGTTTTAGAATAAGATGTGACAACAACTCGTTTACTTTTTCCTTTCTTTTTCAGTGTGTACTGGCCACATATGGAGGTATCGCTTTGATAGTTTTATACTTTAAGTTAAGGTCTAAAAAAACTCCAGCTGTGAAAGCAACATAAATGGTAAGAAATTAACATTTAAAACTTTATATAACTTTGCCATTTTGATCTTAGGGGTCCCCCCCCACTATACAAGTATATTGTTCAAAATTTATTACAATCAAGAAAAAAGAAAAATATTGTCCATGTCCCCATTACCCTGACAATTTTCGTTAACATTTCAGTTTAGCTCTTTTTTAATATATTTGTTTGGTTTCCAGTGGCTATGATCCGTATCTGTAATTTTATCTTATAACATGCATGTTCTCTATAATTTGAATGCATGAGTGCTCATGGGTATATGATTTATTTCACAGAGGAAATGTCTCCTACTAGAATTTTTTCTTAATATAAATAACATTACAATGAATGCCTTTGAGCATGAAGTGTTTGTATCTGTGATTGTTTTCTTAAGGTGAAGCGCTTTCCCAGAGGGTTGTGGGGCGCCTAGCTTTCTTCCCCAGGCAGTGTTGAATAACATCAGTTTCTGATTTTTGTTAATCTGAGGAGTAAAAATAATTTCTTTTTGATAAAGTTGTATGTTTTTTCCATTTGTTTACCACTTGTATTTTTCTTAACATTCTCTGTGTTCTTCTCATTTAACATTTGGGACTTTATCTTTGTGAAGACCTTCTCTCTCTTGTATAAGCTCTCTTAATAGTTATTAACCAGCCTTTTAAATCAGTTGCAAATATATCTTGGTTTTTGCTAGTTTCAATTTTTATGTAAGCCATTCTGTCTTTTCCTTAAATCCCCCTAGACTTCATTTTCTTCTTATAGTGCCACCCAACCCCCATTTGCCCTTGCTTGAGTAAATATTTGTTGTGTTGGTGGTAGATGAGGTGCAGAAAACCCAAAACCCAGATCTTTATCTAATGTAGCCCTCCATGACAGAAAATTTTTTCCTCTCCTCTTAAAAACTTTTCCAGTCACAAAACTATTGACCTTAAGGGACTGACTGCATATCCCAGAATGCAGTGGTCCATGGCTTGTTCCTGACAAACAGGTAGTTTTTTGCCCAATTTTTCATGTTAGGTTCCTCCTAACTTTGTTTTTACAATGGGGATAATACCACCCTCCTTGTTTTCTACTGTTTAAAATACTACTTTATGAAAAAAGATGTTACTCTATGTACTAGGCTTTTCTAATGGTATACATTTAGCATCATACTGAATTATTGGCAGCTCTTTTGTTAAAGGGGGAGTGTTAAATTGTATTAAGCTGAGAGACACCTAAATTTTGGGGGGTTACTGACTCCTTTGAGAATCTAATGAATTTGCATTCAATTTCAGGGGGGTTCACGGATAGTCTTGTACTAGTAATTACTGAATGTCTTAAAAGTAGAGTTGAACACATTGGTGTCTAAACAATTTTTGTTTTGTTTATAGGATTCTCAACTGTACGTCATCTGTTAAGTTCCCATGCCTGAAGAAGCTAATGTCAGCTCATCATGTGATACCCAATTTGTACAATAAATTATGAACCTGGAAAAGCTGGTTGTCTTTATTTACAAGATATCAAAAATATAAAAACTGTACAAAATGCAACAAAGGCAAAAAACTGGCAGTGACTTGGTCTAAATCTTTTAGTTTCCCAAAGCAAGGCTCAGTACTGGAGGTAAGCAATTGAAATGTCTGACTTCAAGTGTACTAGGTTGTATGTAGCCATTTTAGCTGAAGTAGAACATGGAAGTTAATTTCTTCACCTGGTTTATAGTGTTTGCGTGCACTCAATCCAACCGGTATAAATTCAGATGTCAATGGATGGTTGTACTTCATCTATTTCTCAAAAAGTAATTGTAGTTCACCCTACCCAGTTAACGTACATTCCACTAATCATGAGCCAAGCAAAAATGGTAGTGGATCATTTAACATAGTACTTGAGTGCCATACAGTAACTACATTTTTACAGCAGGAACATACATGCTCATAGAATTCTTCAGCTAAAATTCAGGATGGTATTATATTACTCAATTTGAACCTTGAAGCAGGATGAATTACTGAAATCAACTGATTTTTTTCTAAACATAATAAATTAAAATAGCATTTGAACAGGCGATGCATAGTTTCCACAAAATCCAAAGCACCATAAATGTCCCCTCCATGAACATAATACCTCTTATTCAACTAACGGAAATTAGTTAAATGTGGTTGCTATAGAAATGTGGAACTATCCTGTTCAGATTTTCCAAGCAGCATACTTCCAGATCCATATAGACAAAACATTCTTTGTAGCTTAAATATTAATCACTGAGGTATTTGCTTTTAGTCTCCCTTTTTCAAACAGTAGCTTCCAAAGGTCTTTAATACCGATGGTTTATTGCGGACTATAAGCTCCTGCAGCTAGAACCAAGTTTCTTCTAGTAAAATGGAGGTGTACAACTGGTGTTGATTTGGTCATATATGTTCCCAACAATAACTCCTGTGAATTCTCAGGTAAATTTATATGCCCAGTGGCTGTAGTAAAGTCATCAGTCTCTAAATCTTCAAATGCTTTGATAGCATCCCATAACCGTACTGTATTATCCATTGAACCTAAGGGGAAATCAAAGGAAACCATTTAGTAGCATCTGCCTTATTTAGATTCTGAGATTCTGTCAAGTATGCTTTATGCATTTACTTTTTATTTCTGGTGAAAAAAATCTGAACTTGATTAATAACTATTATTCCCTCTAAAGAAGCACTTCAAGCAGTAGTTTTAACCTGAGAAGTCAACATACATATAGGGTAACAATCTGGAATCGTGGCTAAGGAGAAGCAAAACTTAGAAAACAGCAGGACTTAATTTTGCAATGGTCATTCAGTGCTTCCTTTAAATATACCATTGACCCTTTACCACAAAGCCATATCTAGTCATTTACCTGATGCCAAAATTTCACCATCTCTACTAAATCTAAGTGAACAGACTGTATCACTGTGGCCTTTTAATTCTCCAACCATCAAACCATGTCCAATATCCCAAAGGAGTACTCTGCCATCTGTTGCTCCTGTAGCCAGGAATCTCCCATTGGGAGAAAATGTCAAGGAATGAATTGGTCCCTAGAAAAGAAGTCCATGGAAAGAATCAAAAATAGGGTTAAAAATACCTAAGAAAATAAGACAAAAGTTAGAATTATAAAGTTTAGTGGTGCGAATAGTATCTTTAAAATGTGTCACTGGTTAGTTTTTTTTTAACATCTTTATTGGAGTATAATTGCTTTACAATGTTGTGTTAGTTTCTGCTGTATAACAAAGTGAATCAGCTATATGTATACATATATCCCCATATCCCCTCCCTCTTGCGCCTCCCTCCCACCGCTCTAAGTGGTCACAAAGCACCGAGCTGATCTCCCTGTGCTGTGCAGCTGCTTCCCACTCCCTGTTTTGCATTTGGTAGTGTATATATGTCAATGCTACTCTCTCACTCTATCCCACCTTACCCTTCCCCCTCCCCATGTCCTCAAGTCCATTCCCTACGTCTGCATCTTTATTCCTGTCCTGCCCCTAGGTTCATCAGAATCATTTTTTTTTAGATTCCATATATGTGTTAGCATATGGTATTTGTTTTTCTCTTTCAGACTTACTTCACTCTGTATGACAGACTCTAGGTCCATCCATCTGGTTAATTTTTAAACTATTTTTATCTCAAAAGAACCTTGTGCGCTGGAATAATGAAGGTATAAAATACCTTGTGTCCAGTGAAGATCCTTACACAGTTCCCATTCAGGACATCCCAGAGCCGCACAGTTCTGTCTGCAGAGCCCGTAGCAACATAATTAGAATTGGGATGGAATCTGGTACAATTCACATCAGCAAGATGGCCAGCAAATATCCTTAAAGGCTGATAGTGATCTGTAGCCCAGAGCCTTTTAAAAAAAATTATTGAAAACAAGGTAATTAGTTAACTGTGAAATGCCAAAATCAATATAGAAACAACCATGTGAACTGTTAGCTCCAAATGGGTCCCACTCAGTAGTTACCTGAGGGAAAGCAGATGGAATGACTGAACCTAACATTCTTTTTTTTTTTTTTGGCCGCAGTGCGGCTTGCGGGATCTTAGTTCCCTGACCAGGGATTGAACTCGTGCCCTCGGCAGTGAAAGCGCAGAGTCCTAACCACTGGACTGCCAGGGAACTCCCTAAACATTCTTAAGAAAAACTAATTGACACGGTACAAAAAATTTTTAATTCTATAATCCTTTAGTTCTCTGTATGTACACCCCCCACTCCAACTCCTAGTCTAACTTATAGAAGAGTATTTTTCCCTAGTTTTGGCCACCACATAATTAGTTTCTAACCCAAGACACCTCATCCTCAACTTCTAAGGAGATGACAGGGAAATAAACGTGCTCACAGTGGTTCTAAAAGACAAGGTTTAGCATCCGGTTGGGGAAGGGGAGGGCATGGACTCTTGGTATAGACATAATTGCAGACATAGTAATATTCCTGTCCCAAATTCGTTTTCAAATAAGGACCTATAAATGCTGATGTTCTCAAAATGTGATCCTGAATAACAAGCAAAAATGAGTTTGGCTGGAGTTTCTAATTCCCAACAAGAAACCATTCTGTTCCTTGAATAGGCCCAGTCCTAAGCTCATAATGTTCTTACCGAGCTACTCGGTCGTGGCCCCCTGACACAAAATAATATCCATATGGAGAAAACTGTGTGTCCCACACTGGATAGTTGTGTCCTTTATATCCCACCAAGCAGGTAAATGTTTGAAGACTCCACAATCTAACAGTTCCATCTTCTGAAGAGGAAAGCAGGTAGTTCCTGAGAGAAGAGAAGGTAGTACATTCGATTCCTAGAATAACTTAGTTACCTGTCCAGTTTCTCTGTACATTTGTATATATTAAACATAGCTAACTGACATGCTACATCTCACTTTTAATTTATACATGAAATTCACAGTAGATAACAAGAGTTGAAAGTACTAATGTTAGCTGTGACACTCTACATCTACCGAGCACCTACTGAATGAGGCTAGATTATTTTAAAAACATCTATTAAGAGGAAAATCACAGTTCTTCGAAAAAAAAAAAATACCGAAGAGGTAATGACAAAAAGTATGATCAAATAAGGTCACCTGAGAAAGGCTTCTAAGAAATGCGATATGTCACTTAAAACTTAATTTTTTACTTTAAAATGGAGATGCTATTTTCATATCCTGTAAAAGTTGTGTAAGAATTTAAAAGTAAACATCTTTTGGACCAAAAAAAAAAAAAGCCAAAACAAAAAACACTATAGACGCGAGAATAATACTCTGCCTTCTTCAGGAATGAACAGAAAAGCTGAACTACTCAGAAAGTACTATGGTTTTCAATGAAATCAGAAGTTTCCCTCAAGTAAAAATGTACCATCTGGCTAAATCCTATAAAATAACAAAAATCCTCATTCTCAAAGTTTCATAAGGATAAAAATCTTGATGGTTTGAAAGCTATTATCTATAAAATAAGATACAGATGGTATTATGATAACAAAATACCCTCCCTGCATTTCTACAGAATGTTAGAGATCATGAAAAATAGGCAAACACATATTTGTGGCTTTCAAATTCCCTTTTCAGTATTCTCTTAGTTCTTTTGATTATACAAAGATAAATCTTCAATTGATAGGTAATATGCCTTTAATATCAGTCATCTGTTGTGAATTTGGAGATGACAGAAGACAGCAGTAGCCACAAAACCCAAAGAAAGAACCCAAAGAAGCAATTCAACCCCTACTGGAGTTACACAAAACTAAAGTTGATTTTTATAACCAGCAGACACTGAAGCTATGTATCCTGATTCTGTAAATTTGGGTATTATACACTAGTACCCCAAGATAAATCAGCAGAGGGCAAGATGCTAAAAGATAACGCACTACTATGTATAAAATAGATAACTAACGAGAACCTACTGTATAGCACAGGGAACTCTACTCAGTGCTCTGTGGTGACCTAAATAGGAAGGAAATCCAAAAAAGGGGATACATGTATACATATAGCTGATTCACTTTGCTGTACAGCAGAAACTAACACAACAATGTAAAGCAACTATACTCCAATAAAAATGAATTTAAAAAAATTTTTAAAGGATAATAAAATAGTTCTCTACAAAAAAATAGTAATAATAAAAGATAATGGGGCTTCCCTGGTGGCGCAGTGGTTCAGAGTCTGCCTGCCGATGCAGGGGACACGGGTTCGTGCCCTGGTCTGGGAAGATCCCACATGGCGCGGAGCAGCTGGGCCCGTGAGCCATGGCCACTGAGCCTGCGCGTCCGGAGCCTGTGCTCCGCAACGGGAGAGGCCACAACAGTGAGAGACCCGCGTACCACAAAAAAAAATAATAAATAAAAAAAAATTTAAAAAAAGATAATGAATGATAGGCAACCACAAGATTTTTCTAAAGGAATTTTCCCCAACATTCTCATAATGTTCCCAGTAGTTAACTTTCATATAATCTCAATGTAATACAGCAGTATTTAATTTTTTTGTTTGTATTTTACCTATCTGGACTGAAGCTGGCTCCATAGA